CGGAGCTCCTCGTTCTCCTGCTGCAACCTTTCCATGGCGGTTTTAGGCGCCATTCTAGTTGCACTTTCAGAATAGCACGTGGATTAAAAAAAAAATTCTGTGGTGCGACATCTACAATAGCGAGGTTCGAAATAGCATGTAAGTCCCGCCCTATTTTGTTTCTATTCTAAGGGGGGATATTTTGTGATGTACATAGAGTAAGTAAAATAATTTTACTTACTCTATGGTTATGTACACAAATGTTCTATGGATATGCTCACTAGTGATGGGCGGGTCGGACTGACCCGACTTAAGATCCGGATTTTAACGTATCTTTCATATGTCTAGAAATAAAGTAGCGTGCTACTGTAGTACAACTTAGTTAACATATTATTTCAAAACGTACAAAAACTTAAGTGAATTAAATGAAAAATATAGCTTCTTTACATTTATTTTTGAAAGCTTACATGCGGCTCATGAATATTGGCAAACCCGGATGTCGAATCAGTCAAGACCGAGTGGATCCAGTCGAGATTCGAACCCGAAACCCGAACTAATGTTGTGTTCTGGGTTCTGTCGGGTCAAAAGAGCCGTATTTCGGATCCGGATCTCGGTTCAACGGGTCCAGAACCATGTAGAACCTTAAGTTACGACGGATCTTCTGTATTCCATTCCGGATAACGTAAGGAAAATGTGTCTCATTTTATGTTGTGCAGTTTGAAATAAAGACATATAAAATACTATAGTGTGACGTATATTTACCAGTATTAGTAATCATTATGTATAACTATTCAACATTTCAATATATCTCTCTTACAAACGATAATCGCTCTTGTACCTAAAATTACCATTTTTTTCCTTTCACATATTAAGACGTAAATTATGAAGAAATACATATTTACAATAAATGCTGTGCACTTGCACGGTGAAAATTATGAAAATAAAATTAAAACAAGGATTAAACTTGAATTTACTTTCTGTCATTTTATGTAATGCAAGTACCTTTTTAACGATGTATTTAAATTTTCTATGACATTTTTGTATTCACGTATATTATCACTTACAGTACAACGTATTATTTAGATAGAAGCGATTAATTACGTTCAAGCCTGACCTGTGATTTCTTCTTTTGTTGATCCGAGACCGGACTTGGGATCCAAATCTTTAGAAGATCTGGATCTTTGAAATGACACGACTTGCCTACCACTAATGTCCACAGAAAATCCCCCTACTACTTTCTTATCAAACTTTAAATCAATTAAATGAATAATTTATAATATAAATATTAACGTTGCGCTATTTTAACATTTTTCAATATCAACTATCATCTTTAAAACAAGTAAAAATGCACTGGTGTAGCCGCGACGCTCGCTCACGCGGCATATCGACTGCATAGCACGTTTCATGTAAGAGGCTATAAGTTTTTTTCATTCTTTTTTGGCTAGAATCGCAACCATCCTACAACCCATCTCGTAAGGGTGCAACGGAAGACGTTCATATTGGAGTAGTTCCATATTATATGCAAAACTCATGGTAAAAAATGACCCGGAAATTTGTGTCGCTGTCCCCTACTATAAGTTCTCGGTCGAAGCAGCGATATTTTAGTGCCGTTAGTCGGACAGTTATAGCGCTACCAGATACCTACCACCCATAAGATAGCCAACTCTCTTATTTTACTTACTCTATGCTTGTGGGTGCGTGTTCCTACTACTGTGTATACTGGGTTGCATCCCTAATGCCGTACATTCCGCTCTAACTTTTAATTTGTCGGCGACCAATTACTTTTAGTGGCATTAAGAGATGTTTAAAATTAAGTTTGATACATTTCTATACAGGGAAGACTTATTATTTATAAATAAATATATAAAATTGAACAAAACCATCGTCCTAATCTCGTTAAAGTATTGGCAAGTCAAAAAATCTGCGAGATCTCTAGGGCCTAAATTTTGAACCTGCTTAATAAGTAAAACCATAGGCAAAGGACGTGCAAGTAATTTGTCTGTGATAATTAAGAAAAGTTCTGTCAGTGTGGAAGTTAAGTGTTCTAGTAGTGCAACTAATTCTTATTACATTATGGCATCTACCTCTGATAAAACCACTACCAAAGGTCTTCGGTAACTTTGGCGTCCCAGGCATAATACAAATTGTTTGTTTATGGCTGTTTAAGAAATGGTTGATAAAAGAAAAGAATGGGAGCATAAATTTCTGATGGGAAACTCTTGACGAAGTACATTATCATACTGATTTTTAATATTTATGACTTACTATCGTATCAAAGATAAAAAAACAACAAAGGTCTTTTTGAATATGCCAGTACATTTTTATTCTAAGTAATTGTTTTAGCTTTCTTGCTAGGTTTAATGTTAAAACAGCCAAAGTTAAAAAGATGTGAAATCCTATCCAGAAATTTGCCCAAGAAGAGCTTTTGTTTAAGAATTTTAAACCGCAGTTCTTCGAATCCTAGACCCGAACTTTAAGCGAAAGGGCAATCACCGAAACACAGTACATTTTGTGACGATATTACTTAAGGTTCTCTTCACTTCATGTGGCACTTTTTAGTGCATTAGTTTGCAGACATAAATCAAATAAATCTTTTGTGCCATCTGCTTCATTTCATTTATGATTCCAAACCACCTTATTATGTTTAGCATTTAAAAATTTCTCTCCTTCAACCACACATCTAATTTCTGCATGTGCGCTTAAATAAACAAATATTGTTCTCAACGTTAAGAACAGTTGAGCACTCATCGTAACATGCGAATATTTTTCATGCCCTCACTAACAATTTTCACATTTCCGGACTTATTTCTAGTGGAAAGCAAAGCGTCTTAGCCAAAAGGTTACCTACTTGCCTCCATATTTGTTTACAACCGACAGCGCCCCGATCGGTAATTTACATCGCGAATATGCATCATCGGCGTAGCCAGCTATAAGTGTTTGAATATGTTGATAATTAAAACTCCATAAGCATTTACAAATTTTTATTGCAGTAAAAAAATAGTTCCATTTGTTAAGTGTTTATTATAGAAACCAGAAACACTCGCTCAGGAATCAATATAATCATGTTATGAATCAAGGTTTAAGAAAATAAACAAATAATTCAATGTAACATAACAAATTAAATAATTAAAGTACAATTACCAATGCAGATACATATTTAGGTAGGTCTATGAATAACATAATTATATATGGGAACAAATATGGATCTGGATATATAATAATAAGTGGAATGAAACGTGGAAAATCGAGACTATATACTAGGATTTCCCAAACTTTTTCGACAAAGGATTTTGAAATCCAGAAATTTTAACGGAAATCTTAATTTTAACACTTAAAAAAAACATTTTTCATGGGGCCCACATCAGGGCGTATGAAAAATCAAGCAAATGTTTTCGCGCAACATAGTTTGGGAACCTCTGCTGTATACCTACATTCATTTTCCAGCAGTGGCAAATCCAGAATTTTAAACTGAGGGGGTCTGGGGTAAAAAAAGTTACATCATTGTATCGACGTATCATAACACCAAGTCCTTCTGGATGGAATTAACGTGTTTTTGAAATATTTAGTTTATACATTTCCAGAATTATACAATGTTATTATTAAATTGAATTCAGATATTTCAGTAGTTACGATGAAATAGAAATTATTGTACTTAAGTTCAGTTTCCGTGTGTAAGAATTAACTCTCTGACTAATATTATTGACAAAAATTAGCTCTCATAAATGGAAAATCTAGGGTAATATAAAAAAATTTTACTACTAACTTGAGAATTAACTATTATTTATTTCAGTTCTCTAGTGAGATGACATATCTCTTCCTAGGTCAATAATAATAACAATAATAATAAAGTCCATAGGTAAATAATAAAAGCTGTTTAAGTTTTTCCATATTTTTAGTTTGCCCACACGTCTAAGATCAAGTGAAATTTCATTCTTTTCAACTTCTAAATCATTGTAACTTTAAGATTCACTAATTTTTCTCTTTTGTCAAAAGTACTTCATACAAGTTTTATGGGTTTTCTGGAGACCAACAAATTATATGGCAGCAGTTTGATAAAAGTCAATCTATCAAATATTGTTATTCTTCAGAAAATTAATGACAAATTCAAAATTTAATTAAATTAAGTTAGGTAATGTTGAGTCCGTACTATACGGGCGGCAACGCCAAAAACAGAGCCACTAGCAGTGTCAGATGACCGTCAATCAACTGTTCTCATCGAACATTTTTAATTCATTACATTATCATTATAGTTGAACGATAATTAGAGAATAAAAGGTTGAATCAAGTGCGCGAGTTCAATTCAAGGGGAACTAGCAAATACATAACAGGTAATTATCCGTGTTAGTAGTAAAAAAATTGTATATAATGAACTATTACACAGCATTCATCACACAAGTTCAACAAAACATGTTTTACCCAAAAATAAAAATTAAAGCTACCCTTTTCGATCAAAAATGAAATATATATAATTTTATAAATAAATAAATATATAAATAGAGCAAATAAATACTCTTGTAAATAAATTAAATAAATTAATTTTAAACAAATAATAAATATAAATAAATTGTAAATCAATAACAATAATAATAAATAAATTGTTATGATTTTCTTAGAATCAATAGAAGAAATCAGAATTACAAATAAAGTCAATTAAAGGAAAAAATCTAAAATAAATAGACTTATAAAGAAATAATAAATAAAAGTAAAAAATAAATAATAAGTAAAAGAAAAAACTTGTAAATAAATTATGCATTATTGCAAACAAATTAACAAATAATAGATGCAAATTAAAGTAAAAAATGCAAAATAAATAATAAATAAAAGTAAGAAATAAATAATAAATAAAAGCAAAAAAATAAATAAAAAACAGGATAGGCAACTAAAGTCACAAAATAACGGATTGTTTGTTGCTCGATTGTGTCTTTTACAAAAAGAGGTAATTAACTAAAAACGTTCCTTCTAAAAAGGATATTTACAATGTAATTTGGGCCAGCATAAAAACTAAATATGGCTAGACAGTCGGCGTAAACATGGGCAAGCGAAATATACTTTCAAAAACATTTATTAATTAGTAACTTAATTTAATTTACTTTTAGTTCAATTTTTATTATTTTAATTACGGATGTCCCAGGAAAGTATAGCGACAATAAACTGAAAATTTACTCTTCCCCATCCATCGATATCAGTTTTCAGTACAGAACATTCCCCATCCCCCAGTAGGATGTTCTGCGGTCTTCAGAACTTGATACGACATTAACATTATATAAACCAGAGACTTGTGGATACCCTTTTCGTAATTTAGCAGCGGCCGTCATAAAGAAATGTGCAACCGTGCTTCATTCATTTGTAGAAACAATGTAATTCAAATTTGCAATTAATAGTTTTATGATAGTTTAGTTTCACATTAAACAGATGGATTTGTTGACCTTGTATTTGAATAGAAAAATATGGGTTTGGTAATTAAATGTTTTAATTTCAGTTCTTCCGACTCATTGAAACTGAAAAATCGTTAATTATAGTCGTTATTTTACGTAGATTTATTGAAACAATTAGTTTTCCAGTAATAAACGGGCATGCATTGTTATGTACCATGCCTTGATGACATGATTATTCCGTTAATTCTGGGTTCTCACGTACGCATCTGATTACCTAAACAACATTCGAACCCGATCTAGCTATAAATAACCTAATAGCGTCTTAATGTTACATTATGACAATTTATTATAAATAATATTAATTTTCAACTGTAAGATAAATTTACTAAAATGTACACTCATGAACTAAGCGAAGCTGAACAGATAGCAATTAAACCGTTAAATAAATCGCCGATCGATAGAAGTTAATGTTGCTCCCAAACAGAGCGGGATTTATGAATGATTAGCTTTGTCTATTTATTAATGTCTTTGGTATAAATTACCTCTCAATAAATTGATATTGCAGGATGTTTGCATGCCGTTGTTAATATGTTTGCAAATTCGACATATTTGCTTTGTAAGATAATTTAAATTTATATAAATTGTATGTTGCTGTAAAAAGTAGTTGCTCAACTGCACTAATAACCTCTTTTCGTAGAAAACTTGCTGAAGGCCAATCGAGTTACTTCGTCGTCATCTCGATGACGAAAGTCTCGTCGACATAAAATTCTATTAACCTTAGACACATAGCTAAATAGAATGACATTTGTGCACACTTTGTACATTAGGTATGTATTCTCTTCATGATGTTCAGCACAAAATACATACCCAATATCCACTTCTGTGCGCAAATGATCAATAATTTTCTTCCTGATTCCATAAGACGTTATGAATTTAGGTATCAGGAAGAAAATAACATTGGCTATATGTCTATAGGCAGCAAAAAATTTAGTGGACGTGAAAAGTGATGAAGGTCCCTCCCTCATAATATACTCGCGATGTTTAATGAGTATATTATGAGGGTCATCTGCCAACGACTCCATTATTTTGCGACAGTTGCTGCATGCCACTTGAGGAGAAAATTTTTTTGCCACTACCCCAGCAAGATACGGCGTGGCGAAATCGAGGGGATTGTTGCAAACAAGGGCTTCAGGTGTTGAATAAGTTGCTATCGGAACTTGAAAATGTTCAGTAGAAAGTGGCACGCTGCGGGTCTCAACAAAAGATTTAAAATTGGCCAAAACACGTACTGAATCGTCTGGCTCACAATTGTCCCCAAGACAATGTGATGACACAAAACCATTTATAAGGAGAGATTTGGCGGAAGACATGAATTCGGAACAATTGGGACGGGTGTTTGTCGCATCATGGCTTCTTATACAACTGAATAAATATTCAAGAGGACTTTTGTGGAATGATCTAGGGTTAAAATACCTAAAGTTTTTGCCCCTTAGATGATTCCAGATGTATAAGAAGCCACGCAACGTAAAAACAAGGTTTTTAATGGAAGGAGTGACAGTGGAATTGGAAAATGACATTGATTTTAATAAGGGAAGGGCAACGGAAACCCAAAACGAGACATGACGAGATTTTCGTGTCACCACACCCCTCAATGGCTTCCGAGGATAAACTGGAATCTGGCTCCCGTTCAAGCTGTCAAACAGCTCATCCAGGAACAAAAAGAGGTGTGCCGTATCGGTTGCCTTAGGATCTAAATAGTGATCCGAAGACTGGTTCAATCCAGTACTTGCTACAGCTCTGAACTGCATCGCGCATGCCACAGTTCTGCTGAACACTTCCGTGCAATGTTTGACGCTCATTTTCTTCAATTTACTTGCTAACACATGTTCATCGGTTAGCTTGTAAATTAAAGAATAATGACCCCTGTTGCGTTCTATCTGATACAACTTTACTAAATGGTCCCACGACCCAACTTTGCTTACCCCGTCTTCAACGAAATGGAGATCGTCCTTTAAGAGTCCATTCCTAATTCCCCTGAAAAGGTGAGGAATATCAAATAAATGCACGATCTCCATTTCGTCCACGAGATACCCTTGGTACCCATTGTCAACACCTTTTCTTACACACTGGCGCTGTGTGTCTTGGATAAGTGACCTAATTGCAGCTGCATTAGTTGCTCCTTGGTCGGAAACAGTTGCCACTATTAACAAACCTGTTTCACGAACCTTGCGAACTACAGATTTAATTAAATCAATTAAATCTGCCGTTTGCGTGGTGCCTTCGCAAAAAGTGAAACAAATCGGTTGCTTCCACTGTTTGCGAATGCCCTTTAAAAGAAAAACTAATGCATGATCTGCAAATTTCGGTCTTCGATCCGCTCCACCCAGATCTACAAATCCATCTACACAGTCCAGTATATAATTATATTGAAGACCAGGTTGCAACGCAATTTCGTCAAACATAAGCACACAATGTCTGTCTAACAAGGTTAGTTTACTAACTCGTACCTTTAAATGCTGAAACAAACGGTTATTAATTCCAGTATGAAAAGGTATATGTTGCAGAACCTTTACAAGCGTTTTACGAGAAGGTAAACCAAAGGCGTCAGACAAGTATCGGTAACTTTTCCCGCATTGCTTGTATATTGACAAAGCAAAAATTTTCTCCTCAAGAGAAAACTTTCTGCCGCGGGGTATCAACTTTTTATTTCTATTTTTGGCCAAAATACATTTTCTTTCGATTCCGTTCACATTTTTCAAATTTTGCATAAGGGCGGATAGTAAATGATTAAACTTTACATCGGACAACTGTTTATGCTTTCTTACCTGCTGCCGATGTAAAATATTCTTGGACTTTTTTACGCCCTCAAACAAAATTTGTGCGCGATGCGACGAATGCATTTGCTGTGTAGCAACTTGTAGTCCTTTCAAATTAAGCCTCCTTACACCTAAAGAGAAAAATATGTTACTACGTTGGAGAATTAATTATTAGTATATGTACTCACGCGGAACTGCGGCACTTGTAGAATTCGTACAGGTGAAAGCAGTTGACGCGCTGTCCAGAATACCATCTATGTACATATAATAAAAATTATTTAAATTACTTTAATTTTACTACAAACGTACCTTCAATTTTTTGCGGGGTACGCAATTCGTAAGTGGGTGGTGTATACGTAGCATTTAAAGGGCTAGAAAGGATGTCTTTGGAGCCTAAAAATTGTATAGGTTATTAAATTTACATCTCACTTCCTTACAATAAGTACTTACCCGGAACTGTGGCAACATATTCATGTGACGGTCCAGGAATATCACACTCCAACGGACTCGTATGGGTTAAAATAGTGTTTGACTCTGCCATACGAATACCATCTGTAAGTATGAAACAGACCATAGGTTCATAAAGTAAACAAATGTATATAATTTTAAACACTAAAATACCTTGATTATTCAGGGGGGTTGCAGCTCTTCCCTCAGCAGATGGTATACCCTCCCGATATAAGCTATTCTCTATGGATGCTGCACCTTGGAAACCTTCGAAATACATGTGGTATGTAGGGTTAATAATTTAGGTAGAGTAATCTTTAAAACAAGACATAAGCTAGTCTTATTTAAACATACCGGGAAGGTCTTTTGTTGGTAGAGAATTTCGTAATAGCGTTCCGTTTTTCTTGAAACACGCTTTATGAAAATGTCTACTACAAATAAAAATTCTTCGCACTTCCAATTTTGTCACTAATTGTTCACAGCCAACCCGCTTAATCCAAATACTCCTCAACTTATCATTTGTAGGAAATATACACCTGAAAAAATCGTGTTTTTATTTTGTTATAATTTGAATACAAAAAATGTAAAAGACCATGCACCATGTTGGTGTCATCCAGCAATCAACAGGCAACCTCCTAGGTTGCTCATGTACTGCATGTCTATCGGAGTTTCGGGTTCTTTTTAATTTTCCCTTAAAGTACACTTAACATTAAGCAGTTTCAGTGCGAAAGATCGAACAGCATAATTTCGTGTAAGTATTGTAAGGCTGATTTTCACCGGAAACGCAGGTTAACGAAACTAAGTTTATGTTAAACGCCGAAATTAAACTCGTTTAACGACGCACCGTTTTCACCAGCGCTACGGTGCGTTTTTTATACTGCGTTTAGTGAAACGCAGTTTAAAAAACGGGAAACACTGGGATCGCTGCAAAAGTGAGAAATATTACGAGTCTCATAGTCTATCAAGAATCCATTAGGGTCCATGACGTCAATTACCGACCAATATTGATTGAACTTTGGCCACCCCGTTTTAAAATCTAATTTAAAAATTAGAGAATAATGTTAATTACAACGGTTGTAGATATTAACGTCCAGTTTATTTTAAGATAGTAGCAATTGATGCAGAGTGTTTCAAATTCAAGTGACAGACAAAACTTATCTTTTTTAAAATGGAATACCTTTCTTTTTATTGCATATTAGAGCTATTCGTAAAATTCTAGGCCTATTCGACAAAAATGTTCTATATTGATTTTCTACTGTTTTAGAATGTACTTAAGGGAATTTCCCTTCTCGCAAAGTGCAAGTACAAATAATGATGTAATTGTAAAATAAGTAATAAAGCAGGCAACAATGCACTTTGTTTAATTTCTGTATCACCTCTGGGATCGGACTAATGACGTGCAATATTGCCAGGCTTGCTAGGTATACAGGGTGATTCAAAGTTGGCATAATTCCTTTAAGGGGTGACAGAGGCTCACTTGGGGAGTACGAGAAAAATATTGAAAAACTTTATTCCGAAAATTTCTATTAGATATTAACAGTTGAAAATCGAATTTCAACTTTGTTATTAAGCATTATTTAGAAATTGTTCCATGTTTGATTGGCCGCATATTGGAATACTTGAGTATTCAAAAAGAAAAATTTCGATCTTTCCTTCAAATTACGAAAATTTTTGATATCTCAAAAAAGTTCTCTTCTACAATTTTTTGATGAAAAGGCACAGCGGCAATGATGTTTTTTGTCATTAACAGATAGTTACAGGTGGATAGCCCTTGTCAATAATAACAATAATTTGTTATTATAAAATCATATTAAAAAATCATAAATGAATTTGCGGATATGCGATAAGTTCAGGGGAAATGCTACAGTAACATAGCAGAAGCTGAAAGCACTTACGCCAACAAAGGGCGAGGAGAGTGGTTCCAGGAAGATAGTGGACAATTGATGTTCGGGTTCCAGACACAGAGGAACAAGTATTGGACATAATTGCAGCAGAGCCTTCCAAGGACACTCAGAACTGACACTTACACGATACACACAGGACAAGGAGATACAAATGGAGCAGGAGTAAATTACCTGAATACGAGAAGCTGCTTGATAAGAGTGGATAATAAGGAGATTACACAGGCACTAGCTTGCGTGGAGTTAACCATTCAAATGTTTGGTGTTGTATGTTTTTTTGTAAACGCCAATTCGAGGTTATGAGAACAGGTTGACATTTCGAAAGTACGTTCTGCAGTCAACAAATCGTGTTGAATTTACCGTTTATCATTGTCTGTATAGTTTTTTGCAAATTTCTCAGTTTTTAATAACAATTAATTTATTTCACTATTTTGTCTGTACTCCTATAACACCTCCAGAGGAATGACGCCAATTTTAAATCACCCTGTATCTACCGTTATCAGGGTGGGTGTTACCGCCCCTACGGTTAAAACGGTACGTTAAATATGTACTTTATATATAATTTATGGGTTTTTTAGGAATTTAGACGTAAGGAAATAGTGGCTCCAATAAATTCTACAAGACCCCCAACAAGCAAAGTCACATTTCGACAGTTTCGGTCAATTCTCTGGTGACATGTGTGTTACACACGCTGATGAGATTTATATTGATCATTACATATATTTTTTTCTCCAAATGGACCTTCACCAATTCAAAGAAAACAGTTCATATCGTATCCAAGTTTTGCAAAACCCTTGAAATATGACAAGGCATGCCTCCGAAATTCGTTTGCCGCAAATCCGTTTTTTAGTCTCGGGTGATCGTAGGTGATCTATTAAAAAATCCTGACAATGGAATGCATAATATTACGGATTTATGTTACTCCATAATAGACCATTAAACATCCATTCAATGGATTGCATAATTTTACACTGATGAGATTTACATAAATATAAATTGATCAAAAGCTCTTGCAATATCATAATAGTAACATGTACGAAAGGTTTGATAGCCGTTCGGACTCAGAATACGTTATTTGAATAAATTGAAGAAATAAAACATGTTTTCATCAAATTATATTTTAAAACATTTCAGTCATAATTAATATTTTAGGTAGGTAAAACTTATGTGCAAAAAACGGACTATTTTTAATTTCATATTATCGCATTTCTGTAAAGTTGTAACGTAAGCCAAAAAAATTTAAAATAATCGCGACCGTTTTACTTTGTAGACTTTTCAAAAATATTTTTCACCTGACACCCCTTCTGGTAGGTATGCTGCCATCTATTTTTTCATTTGACAGGTTTCGACAAAGTAGTAAAACTGTTATTGTATTTTAATTCTGGTAATCCTTTACGATACAGTCTGTTGTGGCACGCACATATCAGTCAGCTGAACTGCCACCAAAGTAGAAAATCACAATGAAACCAAAAAAAAGTAATTCATTCAAGGTTCAAAACTTATTACGTCCATACAGGAAATAGTAGACGACACTGATAAGTTCATACATGATTTGCTAATGCTTAATTTAGCTGGGGCACAGCAGATTGCAGCCACCGGTTTGAAATATCAAATTATGTATGCATGCAAAGAAAATAAAATAATCGGTTATTTTCTCAATAAAGTATTTTCAGCTTTGGTTTCTCTATGTATGTTTATGAACTATTGGCTCGGAATTTTTTTAAATCTGAAATTTGAATATTCGTTTAGTGGTTTAATCGAATAGTAAAATTATTCGAATACTCGAATATCTAACGAATATTCGAATAATCTTCGTTTCGATCTTTAATTCGAATATTCGAGTATACTTGAATACACCAACATTATCAAACTCACAAGGTGCAAATATCTTTATATGCACTTTGTATACTTTTATAAAATAAATGATTCATATTCTACAGCATTTAAACAAATACCCATATACCTACAAGCAAATGTAAATAATCATTTTCCCTCCTGCAAATGAATATAAAATTACGTCTGTGTGTTCTGGTAATTCGCGTCATCAACTTTTGCGCGGTGATAAAAAGGCACTTTTTATGCGTTGCGGCTAATTGCCAAAAATGATGAGATAACGATTTTTCTTCTTGGAAAACGGTGAACGGAAAATGAATACTCGAATATCTACCGAATATTCTAATATTCGACTATTCGAATACTCGACTTATTCGAATTTGATTCCGAGCCCTATTATGAACGCGTGTGAGTTCTTAATCGGTTAATT